TCCTTGTCGAGCTTGGCCGATTGTTCGTGGTTCGCAAAGCGATTGTAGTAATGGAGGTATCGTTCGAGCGACTGCCGGGACTTAGCCTGCGCGTCGCGCGCTTCGGATCCGCTCTTCTCTTCGAAACGATTGCAGTTGTACCAGCTCGTGCCGTGCTCCGACCATTTGCCCATGCACATCCAACAGAACTCGTTGCGACACTTTCTGCACGTCATGTGGTTGCACCCTCCGTTCTTCTCGATTGTGGAGTTACAGTTGGGGCATTCCTTCGTGTTGGCTGATATCCAGTTGGCGGTCTCTGAATCATCCTCGCACTTCTTGACCCACTTCTTCACCAGCGCGCAAGGTGCAGGCTGGTGGTTGTTCAGTGTACATCCAAAGCAGAAGTCGTGTCCGCACTCGCAGTGTACTGTCGGTACGATCTTGGTAAGGTCCTTGCTTTTTACAGGGCATTCCACGGCGTACTTGCAGTCTGGCGCAGGGCACCATTTGAGGTTCTCTTTATCGTCGACGTAGGTTCGCGTGAGGAGGGTGTGGTATCTACGACTGTTAGCAAGGCTGAGGAAAGTAGAGCGATCATCACGTACCTGTCTTGAAGATCTGCCGTAACGAGAAGGTCTAGCGATTTTGAGTCGACTATGCGGGTGCAGCCTTCTCCGGGGCAGCGTATGCGTGCAGCCTCTCCCTCGTCTTGAATCTTGGTGCCGAGATACTGCCTGTAGCAATCCAAGCAAAACCGGTGTCCGCACTTCATGGCGAAGCTCCGCAGATTCGCGTCATCGTCGCAACAGATGTCGCAGACGAAGCCGGGTATCGTCTCTATTTTCGGCGGATTGGTGGTGGAGTCCTGGCCCAGGCCTGCTAGCTCTAGGACCTCGTCTGTCTTCTCCATGTATTGGTCGATCAGGCGCTCCTTGTTCCAGCGCAGGTGCCGCAGGAGGATGGCGGCGGCTTCGGGTGGCTGGCCGAGGATGCTCGAGACTTCGTCGACCTGCTTGTCTTGCTGTGCTTGGATCTGGGCGGGGTCGAAGACTTTGAAGTCTACCTCGAAGGCCTGCTTCGTGGGCTTGATGTCCTTGTCTTGCGTTTCAAAGCCGACGTCATCTTGGTCCATGTCAAAGTCGGAGTCTAGGCAGTGTTAGCACGTGTGTGCAGCAGCAGCTAGGGGATGCGCACCCTCTTCCAGGTCCAGGTCGCTGTCCTGGTCGTCAAAGTCATCGCCGCTCATGGAGCTGTTGAAGTCGTCGTCCGAGTCCATCTTGCCGGCGTCGGTTGCGGGCGTGGCTGGTAGAGTGACAACAGGGTGATTGGTCTTCTTATGGGGGTATTCCTCGGCGGGGCTGAGGTAGTTGTCTGCCTCGTCGGCCTTCCGCTTGCGAAGGGTGGTGGACGGCGTGATGATGGAGGAGTCCCGCCTGATGACGGAACGCGGGCTTGACAGGCTGCGGCGAAAGGAGCGACGTGCAACGACGAGATAAGGCCTGAGGCGCGTGTGGTGAGTGGCGGTACAGGTGGTCGGAAACAGCAGCGTATTGGTCAGCAGCACAGAAGGGAAGGAGTCACAGGAAGTGAGAGTTGGCGGCGTCTAGCAGTCGATTGCTGGTCCTCGATGCGGGCACTCATCGGGGTGGCCCTAGCGCCTCTGGGAGGCAACAGTCCAGGGGCGTCCGGAACCTGACCGCGTTCTCCACATTTCACCGCGCTTAGGGCATACCATCTCACGTGTTGCAGTCTATAATAGTAAAACGCAGTGTACCCTCAAGGCAGCGTCTTTACTTTTTGCGAGCACAAGTCTTCATTGCGGACAACAGCGGCCGAGACGTGCCTCGATAGTGGTGCCGCCTATACTCGCACATGAAACCGGCCACCGACATAGACTTTGTGACTTCATCTAATCCTCGTCACTCTCCTCTTCGCTCTCATCCTCACTCTCCTGCTGCAAGAAGTCTATCAGGCTCTTCGTCTTCTCCCTCACCTTCTCCATGTCCGCGTTCTCGGTGCTCTTCTCATCTTCCCACCATTGTATCATGCCATCCTCTTCTATCGAGTCCAACTCGACGAGCTTTGTCGATGCGCTCAGCAGGATCGCATCACCGTTCTCTTTGTTGCATAGATCTGCCTGGAGCAAAAGCATAAAGTCCATCTGATCCGTCTTGCTTTCCGCATTCTTGTCGAAGATGGAGCGATCGATGAGCTCCTTGTGCTGCCCGAAGACTTGCGCGACGGCACTCTTGATCGCTTCGCCCGACTTGGTGAGCTGGGTGACGCGCTTGACGAAGGAGGAGACGACTGCGCGTCTGACTTGGTGGTCCGAGGCATTTGTGCTCATGCGGAGGGCTGTGAGTTCCAGTTGAATGTTGGCTGATTCATGGCCTTCGACTAGCGAATCGTAGATACTTGCAGACGCGTCATGGTCGAAGTTTGCTGCGTGTTGACTGTCGGCCGAGCCCACAGACAGGAAACTGCTCGTCGCGGATCTGTCGTGGCGTTCCATGCCCATCATATCTGCTTCGGAGTCCGAGTTGATCGTGGATATTGACTCGTTTGAGAAAGTGTACACTATCTCTGTTAGCGCATGTAGGTAGCTGATGAGAATGCACTCACTTGAGCCCTTGGTGGCCAGATTATCCACCAGCTCGTCCTCATCATCCTCGTCAGAATCGTGGAACTCGAAGCCGTCACCTTTCTCGCCAACTATCGCAGGGTCTGCATCGCCACGAACAACCTCCTCTCCATGTTCCCGTCTCCGCTTTGCTCTTGTGATTCGGTGCTCTCCTCGTATCGTCATGCCCTCACCGATGCTGACCCCATATGAGATCAGAGCACCAGCTTCGATAGCACATCTGCGCCCTATCGCCACTTCATTTGCGAGGATGGCCTTGGTAACCGTGCTGCCGTCAGCTATGCTGGCGTAGTCCCAGATGTACGCGCCGTCAATCTTGACGTTTCGGCCAATCTGACAATGCCTCCCGATGATGCTGTTGGTGATGACGCTCTTGTCGCCTATGCTCGTGCCCCGCCCGATGACTGTCTTTGGCCCAATGACGCAGTCGCGCGCAAGTATGACGCCTTCCTCTTTGTATGTGTTGCCCTTTTGTAACCGATATGACTGTCCTTGAACGAGGTTGCTGTCCGGACATAGCGGATATGCCCAACGTGAGACGATATCTTTGCTAACCGACTCGTATGCGTGGAGATTCCGTACTCTTGCCGCGTAGTGATCCGAGATGATGTGTGTGTGGAACGTCTTGCCGTTGAGCTCGTAGTCTTTGAGTACGCTGTGTAGGAAGCCCTTGCGCGGCGCTTGGAAATCGAAGTTGTCGCTCCATAACGCAAGCACGTCGGGAGTGCAGATGTCGATGCCGCAGTCGATGAGGTCTTGGCGTACTTCAAGTTCCTGGTGTTCGGAGAGCAGTTCGGGGTCGATGGAGAGGTAGTGCGTCTGGTCTCGGTTCGGCATCTGTTCGAAGTGTAGGCATCTGTCTTTCTGCGGGTCAATTACAAAGACGGGACTGGTGCCTTGGGCCTTCGTCCTGTGAGTCGCGCCTGCCTCGCGTAGCACCATGGTCATGATGGCATTCTTGTCCTTGGCCCGCCGCGCCCTATGCGCTGCGAGTGCAGACTCTAGGGGCAGATTGCTGACCACATCGCCATAGACCAAGAGGAAGTCGCCAACCAGCAGGCCTCTGCTGTCTAGATCTCGCATCGCATCACCGATCGAATGTGACGTCGACTGGATCAGCTCCAGTCGCGAGAAGGGTGACGATTTGGAGGACCATCGCGAGGCCTTGATGTAGTCTTCAACCTGTTCTCTGTGCGCGCCGCAGTACACAAAGACCTCCTCCACGCCGGCGTTGGCAAGAAACTCGAACGTGTACTCGATGAGCGGGGTATTCGCGAGGGGCAGAAGACACTAGCAGGTGTCAGCGTGCAGCTGGCAATAGTCGGGGGATGCGTACTCTTGGGTGCTCGAGTGTGAAGGGACTGAAGCGTGTCTCGAAAGGATCCGCGAGTATCTACCCGGGTTAGCATATTTCGCGACCAGCTGTGTTGCGCAACCTACCACAGCCTGCAGCGGCTCGTCGCGCTCCTCCTCGCCTGACTTGCCCTTGTCTTGGCCTTTCTTGCCTTTCGGTGGCATATTTAGGTTTTGGTAGTGTGTTGCGCAAGAGGTCGAGGGGGCGCTTAGAATTCTAGATTCGTGGTGCACGTGGAGGGGTTTGGCCAGCGACTTCCAAAAAGCTCCCACTAACTTACCACGACCGCTGAGTCACAAGTCCCCCGGCCAGGGACCACCACGCCTACCAGATCTTCGGGTCTCCGTCACGTCTCAGATCCTTTAGCGGGGTGGCTCTGCGGGTAAGCCGCTGCGCATGATTCTCGAACATGCTCGTGCGCGGCCTTCTGGGCTGGCTATCAAGGTCTGGACCACCAGGGCAGACATGTGCTCGGAAATGCTTATTGCGACGACACTTGCACCTCGAGGGAATGGCCAAGATTGGCATGCAAAGCGAGACCTGCAGCTCTACACGAACAGCTTTAGAGTCAGTAGCTGCTGTCAGAGATTTCTGATACCCAGAAACATGAGTAATCATTACTCTTTTTCAAGACAGCCCACAATCAGGGAAGTGCGAAACATGACTACTTTGGCCTCCCTATATTCGAGAGAAGAATATAATTGTTTATCTAGCAAGTAGGGTATTTTTCTAGCAACCGTCCAACCCGGACCTGATACAATGGATAGATGACCTCGAACGCCTCAGACCCTGTAGGGCCTAAAATACCCTGTCAGACAGCTCCCTGAGCTACCTTATTCTTGCACCTTTTTCTCCTGTAGATACAAGGGCCGATCACGACTATCGGCCCTAAAATGGCTGGGACATCTTCGTCCAATGGTACAGCCTATGGTTAACACCTGTCATCCTGCAGCAGGTGGCTGCACCACATTCGTTGTGGTGCTTGAATAGCAAGGCCGCCTGACCGTGTCGTTGCGCCTGCTATCAACGCGGGCGTGGTTGCATGGACCCCATCTGCTGTGGCATTTGGGGAGGGTACATTTGTTGACGCTTCGCTGGATTGTTCATATCATCGCCTCCAGATATCTCCGAGACTTGGCGGCGATGACCCGGCGCTAGTTGTGATTGTTGCTGCTGTTGCATTTGTATGTGTGGTGAGGTACTGTATCCCATGTTGCCGTGCATGGGGTTCACTCCATATGGACCTGGGTGTTGGACTGGTTGACCTCGCATTGCTTGCGCAAAATCGTCCGGGACTGTGCTGCCTACAGGAGAGACGCCCGGCATTTGGTTGGGAGAGTTCCAGTTGCTGACCGTCTGTGGAGACTTGGCTGGAGAATCTTCCTCCTTGAGCACCAGTTGACGTGCTATTTGCACAGGCTGGGGCGCCACCATGGTCCCGTCAGCCTGAGCGACTGGTTTCTTTAAATGGACAAGGTGCTTCTCTAGCATGTGTAGAAGGCCCTCCTTAGTGAACGGCTTGGGGAGAACGTCGTTCATACCTGAAGATATTAGCACAGGAACTGGAATTGGACAAAAAATCTCTTACCATGCTGGAAGTACATGGAGATGTCGTCGCTTCGGATGTTAGAAGTCATAGCAACAATCGGTGTTGTGTCAAACTGTCGAATCAAGTGGCACGCTGATACACCGTCCAGGTTTGGCATAATAATATCCATCAAGACCAAATCGTACTTTGAGCCAGCATTCATCTTGTTAACAGCTTCCAAACCATCGAGCTGGGTTCAATTAGCATGGCGTGCAAACGACGAGTAGATGACTTACAGCACTATCGATGGAGCAGTGGAAAGCGTACAAGAACTTGCTTCCAATTCGACGGCACGTGGGGTCGTCCTCAACGAGCAGAATCTGAGGTGGTCGAATCCATCCTGGATCTGGAATAGCATTTTTCCTCTTTGGCTCTGGCATTCTTGGTTCGCTGGATTCTACTGCTTTGGGCGGAGCAGCATAGGGAATGTTGTTGATGTGCTCGCTGTACATGGGGTCGATACCTTGGTTGGAACCGACAGGGTAAACGAGGTTATCGAGATTTTCCAGACGCATGGAGTTGGTAGAAGTTGCTGAAGGCGGTCCGCGGCTCGTCGGTCGCAGTGTTGCTCGCGCGAGATCTGGAGGCGGAGTTGTCAAGGTGCCGTTCATCCGCATGGTAATCTCGTTCATCTGCTCCAGGTTTCGGGGGTTCAGCATAGCATCTGCGTTCGTTTCGCTTAGAAGTTTAGAGGCGTGCTGCAACGGAGAAGCGGGGTTGTCGTCGTCGTTGGACGCGGTGGGCTCCATGCTGCCGTTCTGCGAGTCGGTGCCGTTGGGGAAAACGAGCTTGCTGTTCCTCCTTTGCGTCGCATCAACGCCGTGTAGGAAGGTCATGATCTGCTGCATGACATGCTCGTGGTTGACAACCGTCTTTTGTAGCCCGATAACCTCCTGTAAAAGCATTGAATGGTGGATGCTTAGTTCACTATAGCGACTCTCGAGCGCATGCAGTTGAGCCTGCGTCGCCATCAACTGTCCGCTAACCATGTCCATCTGTTGCGAGGGCGCAAACTCTTCCGCCGCGGCTTGGTTGGGTTTTCGCGGCGCGGGGGCCTTTCGACGAATATTGTCGAGCGCGTCTTTGTTGTTCATCTTGAAGTCGGGATGCTTGAATTCCCAGGCCTATGGGGCTGTTAGCCACGATACCTGCAGACGTATCCAGGAATACCACATACTCCAGGTCCATAAGGCGACTGTCCATTTTCTTCGTTGTTGTGACGGACTTTGTGGAAATCGTACTTGTTCAGCTGGCGGACAAAACTGGCGAAATTGCTGTGTTTGAAGTGTTTAGGGAGGATGTGCTTTGTGAATTTCTCGTTCTGTCCGCGTGTCAGTAAGATTGTCACAATAGTAGAGGCCCGAGGCGCATACTTCCAGGACGACAAAACTGTCGCCGTCGTTTCCCCATCGTACTACACTCTCGTCGCTCCCGTTCTCCAACATCCTAGATGGGGTTCAGCGCGAAGCACAGCGCGCATGGGCGCGTCAACCTACTTGTACAGCTTGCGCACAAAGTCGCTGGAGTTGTTGGACCCTCCCCCACCGGCTTGGCTGGGATCCATGATGGTGAATTGGGCTGCGTTGTGGGCGTAGATGCCGCTGGCGGTGATCCGTGTTGATGCGCGACGGCACCCGGATAGTCGAATGGATGCCTAAGGGCCTGCTGAAATCCAGTCACAGTCTTCACCACTGGAGGCGACCGCGATGGAGCTACGGGGGACGGTGCGCAAGGTTCCGGTTGCGCGTTGGAGTGGTTTAAACTTTTGCTTGGCCGGGGGCGGATCGGTGGTGGATGGGCGATGACGAAATTTCCCAAAAAGGGCGCGCCGTGTTGCAGGCGGACGGAGGGCGATGGACGAGATCTGGAACCTTCAAGTGTAAGAAACAGGGAGACATGGGCACCTCTGCGCGGGCACTTGGGAGCTAAACGGGCCTAAAGCAGGTTAACACTGGGCTCGAGAGGAATGCAGTCGAGCATGCGCTAGGAGCAAGCCAAGCGGGCGACGTGCCGAGGAGACGAGCCAGGGGGTTGCTGCTATGACAGGACACGGGACACGGCCATGAGCAGACTGAGTCGCAGCCCGTTTCCACACCGCACACACATCGCGAGCGCGGCCATAGTACCTGCAGTCCTTTTTCGGCGACCATGGTACGCCGGGCGTGGCTGCTCCAGCCAATGTTTCCGTGTCTCTGCAACCCATGTCCCCACTGATTACGCCGTTGACGATTCACCACCGGCTTGAGGCACGATCGGCATACAGCAGCAAGCGTGCAGTTGGGCTGCGCTAGTACCGGTGTGGGTCGAATGGGTCAGTATCATTATCCGCAATTTGCTGGTGCACTCGAGACTAACCTGCATATACAGCTCTTATTTATGGACACGATGCTGCCATGTGTTCCGATATTGCATACTTCGGGGACAAGGTGCACACGTCAAGTGGAACGCGGCCGGTGGGCGCGCCTGCCGTCTTCCGACCGAAATACCCCCACCACCAGTGCCTCACCACCACCAAGTGCACACGTGCTCTCTTCACACACGCCCACATACACGCACCTCTACCTGCATACACGCCATGTTCGCTACCGCCCGCCGTCTACCCCTAGTTCGTCCAGTCGCCAGCCGACGTATGTTCCACGCCTCGGCACCTGCATTCGTCAATGTCGGCGACAAGCTGCCCAGCGTTGACCTCGTCGAGGGTTCGCCCGGTAACAAGGTGAACCTGGCCAACGAGCTGTCTGGAAAGGGTGTGGTTATCGGTAATTATCTCCTAGCGCCGACTGAGTGAACATGTGTTTGACAACTGGCAAAGGTGTTCCGGCTGCTTTCTCGCCCTCGTGCTCTGAGAACCACATCCCTGGCTACATCAACTCCTCCAAGCTGAAGGATGCCGGCAAGGTCTTTGTTGTCTCTGTGAACGACCCTTTTGTCATGAAAGCATGGGGTAAGATGCTTGACCCATCCGGCTCCAGCGGCGTGAGTTGTTCGCACTCCGATGAGAAAACACCCTGTTGACATTTTCAGATCCGCTTCCTCGGTGACCCCAGCCTGAGCTTCACAAAGGCCCTTGACCTCTCTTTCGACGGTGCATCCATCTTCGGAGGTGACCGCTCCAAGCGATATGCTTTGGTCATTGAGAACGGTACTGTCAAAGCAGCGCACGTTGAGCCTGATAACACGGGCTTGAATGGTATGAATCACTTCTGACCAATAACGAATACAATTTGCTAATGAGGTTCAGTTTCTGCGGCAGACAAGGTTCTATGAAGAATCCACGACACGTTTGCAGATAGGTCTGGAGAGTAGTCCCAGTCACCGCTACGACGACTACATATTGCTTACAGCCTCAAAAATGGCCTATACTGTCTATCTCAAGGAAGATTGGATAGCTACCTTCCCTATATTGATGATCAATATAACATATCATGTTCATGAAATTTCTTCGGACATAGTGACATCATATTGAATCAGACAGCAAAAAGAAGCAACCTAAACATGCCTCTGACGGAACAACGATAGCTAAGCAACAACCACCCTACGCAATTCTCAGACCTAACAAAACCCTTGACACGTTCCACACACTCAGACCACCACCGCCGCACCATCTACTTCTTGCCAGCAAACGCGCACGTCCCAAGATCGCGCTTCTCCGCTGGAAGCTGAGGACTAATGTCAAAGTCGAAGATGTCAATCGGTAGTCCGATGGTCGTACAGGCGTTGGGGATATCGACAATACCAGCTATATGACCCTGAATCGGGGCACACGAGAGCAGGAGGTAGATCTGGTAGTCGCTGTAGCCTACAGTTCAGTCAGTAACCAATTTCCGGGGAAACTCAAGCGTCACGAAACTCAGTACCAACCCCCTTTCACCACAAACACGACAACCAATCTCTGCTCCAAACGAGAAAGCCAGTGCCAAGGAATCAAGAACACCGGAAGTACCAGACGAGACATGAGCCTCGAACTTCACCAGGGCAGGCTAACACATGCCAGACCAGAAACCAGACCAAAAGCAATTAAAAAAAAAACAGAAAAGACAAACTCACCAAACCGTCTCAAATACTCAATCACCCTCAGACAAGTCTGGCGATACGCCACCGTAGCATCAAGATAGTGCTGTTTACCCTTCTCATCCACACTAAAGCCCTCAAAGTAGATGTACCTGCCAGGACCAAACTGCGGCTCCACAGGACCAGGGATGTAGATGGGACTCTTCATGTCGAGTTGCTTCATGCCGCCCTTCATGACGCTGAATTTGATGGTGATGACGCCTGCCATTTCGATGGCGCCGCAGAAGGAGATTTCGCCGTCGCCCTGGAGGAGAGGGGGAGAGGTGTTAGTTCGCGTTGTTCTTTTCAGGGAGGGTTTTGTGGGGGTGGATAGGCTTACTTGGCTGAAATGTAGGTCTCCTACACTAAATTTCGCACCGGGTACGTGGACGGGGAGGAAGACTTTGGAGCCGCGGGAGAGGTTCTTGATGTCGCAGTTCCCACCATGTTCAGGACGTCCTGGGATTGTGCGGGCGCCTTCTTTCGCGATTTTGTCCTTCACGGAACCTGTGGCGGAGCCGGAGTGGGCGTTTTGGGGCTGTGGTGGTTGTGCAACGATGCGGTCCAGGTGCGTGTGCGTCGAGATGAGTTCGGCTTCACGCGTGTTCCAGGTTTCGAGGACTTCGGCGGAGGGGGCACAGCCTAGGACTGAGATCGTGGATAATGTGATCAGTCTTGTGTTCGATTGGGGCAGAGCGTGAGTGGGAAGTTTGCTTACTGCCAGGGTGTATGAGGCCTGCGAATCGGACACCAGGGATGTGGCGGGAGCTGCAGAAGATGCCTTCGAAATCCCAAATAGCCTTTGCACTGTATGTGCGTCAGCCTTCATGTCTTTTCTTCTTCCGTTGTTTGCTCGAATCGCCATATTCGTCTCGCAAACTTACGGTTCTGGGTAAAGCTCATCTAGGAATCCTCCACCGTTCTCTTTCGCAAATATACCTGTGAAACCCCATGGCTGGTCTTCTAGCGGCTGTACGTCTTGGATATCAACTACCAGTACATCGCCAGGTTCCGCAGTTTCGATGTCAAAGGGTCCAGTCAAGTAGTGGATCTTGGTTAGGTCAACGTCACGGATGTCATCTGCTGAGTCATTGTTGCCGATTTGACCGCCTGTCCAATCTACGCATTCAATCTTGACGGCTTCACCAGGTTTGATCGTGCCGTAGGAGGGGTTCTCGGGATGCCAGCGGTTCTGCAAGTTTTATTCTTGTAAGGTTCACTGCATGTATTGTGAGCATTTGACGTACGTGCAGGCATTCCTGCTCTGATGCTGGTTTGTCGAGCGAGACTTTCGCCGCGTATCGTAGACCTTCTTTGCCCATATTGCACTTGTGGAGTGTATCAGAATTGGAGTTAGACGGAAGGGGAGAGAACAAGTAAGTTGAATAACGGAGGAAGACGCGTCCAGTCGCGAGAGGGGATAGTCACGTATATGAAGCCAATAGACGCGGGGAAGGAGTAACTCTCAACCTATCAATTGTTATCTGGGACGAATAGATACGTGCCTAGTGCAAGGCCGAATCGCATATCCACCAACTATTACTACAAGGTGGGTGATAAGCTCGATGATACGGCGCTGTTACGTTACGTATGATCGGATGGAGCTGTAAGCTACCTACCACAACGGGACGCGTTGACCCCACTGCGGGGTATATTCATAATGGTACCATCATCGTACAGCGGCCGGATAGCGTGACAACTAGATATACCTGATTGCCGACGGCGCATGTACTAGCTGCGGTTCGTTTTCTAAGGTGCGAGGTTGCGTGTTCGTCATGTCAAGCGGCAGTTTTCCGCTCCCATATAGTTTGTCATGCGAGGTTTCCGCGTCATCGCAAACTAGCTGAACGTCTTTCGTGGTGTCTGGCGGACTTCAGATTGAATCTTGGGCTTGTGCATTGCGAGATTGTATTCGTCCATGTGCTGCCATGGCAAGTTCAGGAACTCGTGTTTGTTCTTCCAGCGCAGTGACTCTTCCTTGAACTTGTCGGCTTCGGTGGGCGGGAGCGGCGGCTCTGTGATCTTCGTGATGAGGTATGCCGTAGAGGCTTCGGCAAGACCGTATATGAGGACGCCGACGAGGGGTATCTTGACAAAGATGTAGAAGCCTAGACCGAAACCAAAGAGCACACCAGCTCGGTCTTTGAACCAGAGCTTCTTCTGCTCTTTATTGTAGCGAACACGAGTGAAGTAGGGCTCAAGCTGTTTGAAGTCAGCAAGGTGAGCATGGAGTTTGTTGAAGAGGTGCTTACCAGCTCTCGCATAAGAGTTCGCGATGAGAAGTAAGCTTGCAGGAAGCTGACCAGGTATCTGCGGGGGAACAGCAATGATCCCGCAAAGATAGCTGCTGCCGGCTGGGTTCCCACCGATTTCTTGAATGTGTAGAAACTGGCAGCAGGCAGCACGAAGCGTCCTACATACGGAACGTAGGACAATGCCAGTACTGCCAAAGAGATAGCTGCCTTCCTCCCCTGTTTTGTGGCATATAGCATTATAGCCTGCTTGATAGGCTTCTTCTCCTTCTCGGGCTTGGGTGCGTGGTCGGGGTATTTCTCGAGGTTTGGGTAATACATGGCGCGGAGGTTGTGGGGGTCTTCGGTCTTGTGCTTCTGCACGTACGTCTCGTCGACCCAACGGAGGGAGTCCATGAACCTGGAGACGTTGTCAGCTAGATCTCAAAACGGCTACTAACGTTCTTACATGCGATCCAGAGTAGGTGTGACGTAGCGCATCATGGTCATGAGAAAGAAGGGCACCTGGAGGACGGTGTGCTCAAGGAAGTGGAGGCCGTTGACGACACTCTCGTCCATGCTCGTGTGGTCCATGTTGACGAAGAGGGAGAGGATCCATAACAGCACTCTGACCCCGACAATCTGGGTATGTTAGACGTGATGTTGCGTGGGATAGGGCATTCTTGGATGGTTGAGACGTACGGGTATGGCGACGATGATGCGGATGGCGACGCCTGCAGCTACAGCAATAGCAGCCTGCCGGTAGTGGTCCGAAGTGAAGAGACCTGGATTCTGGAGAGCTCGATTGACTGCGATGGTGTCAGAATGGAGCTGTCATTCACGATACCATGATGGCCTCCACTTACCGCCAACCAGAGTAAGCTGGGCTCCCCGCAGGATGGCGTTAGGGTCGAAGTTGGACACGTCGAACTGGGACATGTCAATTTTGTCCATGTTGGCAAGCTTGACAAATGCACAGGCAGTCTGGTGTTGCTTTCAGCGCAGCAAACGTGGAATGCGTCCACGTAGAGGTCGTGTGCGAACGCCTGCGAACTGGCGGAGCCCATGACGTACTGACAGCTCCCCACGGACCCATCGTAGCGCAGCGCGTCGCAAACAAAGCAGGTAACGCGTTGTTGATAGGGGATGCCGTCGCACCAACAAAACACGCACCCATCTCCAGCGTCCCATCTCACACCGGCGGCATAACTGGCAACTGGACGCGCGCGGGGTTCAGACGATCCGCTGATCAGGTTGAAACTCGACGTCGCTCCTGTGGCCAAAGCGCGTAGCGTTCCGAAGCCAGGGACTTCCAATCCCTTCAGCCTTTCCATCACCCCCCATCTCCGCAGTAACACTTGTAATACCCTTTCCAAGCGCCGGCCGCTGTCTTCTGTCGGGATCCTCCACCTCGACCTCGCTCTACCGGGATAGCAATGCCCCTATAGGAAGTCTATTATGACGATGCCGGCTTCATCCCAGCATCCTGAGCACGCGCCGTCTGCTCTCAACCCCAGCAACTCGAGGCGCAGCTTCACACTGCCCGCGCGCACTGCACGGAGGACTACGTCGGTGCCTGCACCGTCTGCGAACAGTGCAGATGGCATAGAGACGCTGTTTGTGTGCTCCAACTCCAAGATCTTCTCCTTCACAACAGCTGGGCCAGCGCGGCGCCTGTCACCTTCCCGCTCAGGTGACGCAGCGCATCCGATAGCGTGGAAGACGCCTACAGAGCGCACACTCGCAGTCGGTATGCTATCCCACGTGTCACCGGGCTGGAACTTGTCTAACCTATCACAGGGGCTCTCCGTATCTATCGTGTGACAGCCTCCAACGTCTCCTTCCTGAACAGCGGCAACCTCCTGCACACCATCTTTCCCAGGTCTCAGATATGGCTTGTCGACAACCAGTCCGTCTTCGTACTGCGCGTACGCCAGGACTCGTACTATCGCATCGAGCTCCCCTATGAGACGGACGACGACAAGGACAAGATTACGCAGTTCAAGTCGGTATTGGCGCAAGTCATGCAGTACGAGAGAACCCAATGCCCGTTCGCGCGAGGATTCGAGGTCGTCGCAGAGCTCGAGCGCCCGAAGAGCCCCCCACGCAAGACCATCAAGAGGAAGCCCTCAGGGCAGGCAAAGAAGTGGGTCATGGACAAGACCTGGGTTCCGCAGCAACATGGCTCTCGGCCTTCTACTGCTGGTACTATGAGCTCAGAGACTGGTACCACTTCTTCAAACGAAGAGGACGACCGGTCGAGCGTCTGTACTGACAGTAGCGAAATAGTGCCGGCCGCACCCGAGACCCCGTTGGCAAGAACGGCACCAAAGCCTCTCTCATCCAGATCGCCTCAACGCCGCCCTTCGGTAGCGGAACGCGCCAGCATGTTTCAAGGCCTGCGGTCAGTTACGGCGCCCATCCGAGCGCCCAGGAGAGAATCGGTATCGGCCATGGAGCGCATAGTCGAGTCTCCACCAGCAAAGCAATCCACCGCAGCTGAGAAACCCATACTGGAGCGCCAGATTTCAGACGCCTTGAGTCTGGCCTCAAGCGCAGACTCGTTCTACTCTCTGGACACTGCTACACCGCGAAGTCCTTCTCCCAAGTTCCTCGATGCCGAGGCTGATGTCCTGAATCCATGGGCACAAGTCTTTTCCAAGCACCAAGATGAGCCCAGGGGCCGTTCAATACACCGACGTCAGATATCCGAGGATACTGTCCGCGGCCCATCCACCGAGCGTACTGATGCATCCGCACCCGTGACTCCTACTGCCCCATACTATCCGTCCGCGGTTCCCTCGGTCGATGGACGGCCGTCATCAGCACCTTCAACACCACCGCTTATGAGCGATTCCGACGACGACAGCCTCGGGCGTGCTAGCATAGACATACCTACACCACCAGATGCCATCCGTATGAGGAAGCTCACAGGTGCTTCACAGAGACGTGCCTTCTCTCCTATGCCTCCAGCGCAGAACCTTTTCTGTCCACCCAAGCACAACCCAGGGAGAGACTTCACAAATGCCTTGGTGAGCAAGACGTGTGAGCTTGTTCTGGGGCCGCCCGCACACCTGGTATCCGTCATGCTCCGTATCGCTACGAGCATCTCAAATGGGTTCGGTTTTATCACCTACCGCGTACGCCGCGCTGAGAAGATTCCATGCGCTTGGGAGTCAGATGATGATGCTGACTGGGCTGAAGAAGACGACTTCGGCATCCCGCTCAACAACATTGGGACCCCGGCAATGCGTCGACAGACGTTCTCGGGCGAACTTGACTGATGCATTTGAGGCTGGCTGAGCTTGGATGGTGGTTTGTTATTGCATTTTCACGGTTGATACCAGGCGTTGCGTCTTATGTTTGCATCTAGAAGGCGAAAGTCATGCTACTTTCAGTCGTACTTACACGACGTTGACGTTTTTGAAGAATACATGATTGTAATATGGCGGTACGATAGTGGATAATATGAAATGCGCTCTTCGCATGAATGAGGATACAAGTTTACACACCGTCTTTGGCTGGGCAAGCAGCGTCACTGAGAAGCTGAGACCACAACACCACACCGGGGCATGCATCCTACCCTTGCCATGCTGAAGCTTGATCGGAGGCATCCCGATGAGCCTGGACTCGGTGCTGAATGTGGTGACACTACGTAACCTGCTCTCCTGGGCCGTAAGACTCCGAAGCAGGTCATCTCTATGACTTCAATCTCGACTTCAGCGTGCTGCTATCCGTCATGGCGAGCGGCGCATGTGGTATGACATGATGCCTGACGTCGAATACCGTTGGATCTCGATCGCGAGGTACACTCCTGGGGAAGGCGTTACCGGGTCTGGCTCCTAGCGCCCGGTTTGTCCGTCCAGTCGCGCGGCGATGACGAGCAGCCATGCAGGCACAACATAAGACGATGCTCACTCATCCCATCTCCATCACCCCATCAGCGCCATACCGCAAATGCACATGTCGGATTACTTGCATGCCCTCACCTGAGGGAGACTGTTGGGACTTGCGCGTGATCGCCCGCGTCGTGGGGCATTTTAAAATGAGGATGCAGGGTTATGGGTCCTAGCCACGCTGGCAAACCTTCGATCGCATCCAGCCAGCTTTACCGCAACTTGCAGCGCCAGCGGCTTGTCCAATGACGTCTAGCGCTGCCTCGCGTGTTGCGCACGGAATCAAGGACCTGACCGACTAATTAACTTTGTAGAGGAGGCGGGTGATCCGTTCCTTTTCCCCTAACACTCCCATGGAACCTTCAGCTTTGTGTCAGGAATAGACACCCGTCTCGCTTGCTTACGCCTCATCACCTACTTATCCATTTCGCTTCGCACTGCCGGGGCTGCAACATCGACTACCACCGGATCGCGTTTACTATGAAAAGGAAGATGGAGGAGGATCTCGACGTGTTGTTGGACGAGACGTTGACGCTATGCAAAACACCCCCCGTTCCGCGACGCAATCCGCATCGCGTCTTCTATCAGTACAAATGCAAAACATCGCCGCCCACGACGCCATCAAAGGAACCGGAGAACCCAGAGATGGAGATGAAAGGACCGCCCATGTTCCACTTTGGAGGCCAGACGGAGTTGGTCCCCAAGCCCCTCTTCGCCAGAAGCAACTCGCTGCCATCACAATCAGTCCGACCATCGCTGCCATCGCGACCATCCGAGCCTTTCCAGTTCAACGCCGACGACATCGTCAAAAGCCCAACGCCTTTGTTCGGCAGGAGAAACACGCTGCCCTCGAAGGTGCGACGCGCTGTTGCCGCCGAAAGAAAGCCATCGCCGTTGTCGCGCGGAGAGGGAGTGCGATCGTCGCAATCGGCCCACACCACCACCAAGGAGCCCACGTCACCAGCGCTGCCACGTAAGGAACCCAACACCACCCCGAACCCAAAAGCGAAGACCACGAAGTCGCAATTTGCGACTCCGCAGAGGACCCCCCGTGTTGTCGACATTAAAAGACCATCGCCACTTTCTGGCAAGGGCAGTGTGCGACGACCCGGTCCCACCCGATTCGCTCCTGTGGAACCCCCATCGCCGATAGTCCTGTCACCCGTCATCTCCAACAGCTCTGCGACTTCATCGCCATCGCCATCTGTCTTCTCCGAGGCTGCCAGTTTCTCTGCATCGAGCCCATCCACACCTGCCACGTCACCACCTGGCTCTCCAATGGTGCCAACAGTACACGCTCGCTCGCAGTCGCTAAGTTATTTTCCGCCGTCTCATTGGACCATCAAGCCCTCGCCTTCCCCGATCTACGTCCCCAGGCAGAAGTTGAGGAGGAAGGACAGTCCCAAAATGGAGACACTTCGCACACTAAGAGCGAAGGAGTCGGACATGATGCTGCAACAAATTTACGACCAACATTGGGAAGCATACCGCGCAAAACTACTTGTAAGTTCTGCCAACGCACCTTCCACACAGCACTCACTAACCTGGCGTAGAACATGACTAGCGGACTCCGCGCTGCAGAGCGACTTTAACGACCACGATTTACGATTTAACGACTTCAAGACGAGGGCATGCATGGCGTCACACGGCATTTGATTATAATACCCCGGGTTTGGATATATGGGCGCATTTAGAAACCGATTTGCATTTACGGTCTGCATTCACGGTCACAAGCGTTCAACATATTGGGTATACACTGTAATCTAATAGAGCACAGGGCACTACAGCCCTGGTTTGATTCCAACATAATCTTCGTCGACGTCTCTGAGCGAGCGAGCGGCACAATTGTCGTGCTGCGGAGCCTCAGCTGCACGCATGCAGAGCTTACATCACCCGCGCCTGGCAGCTGACCTCGATAGCACGCAGCCCCATCGCGCAGCGCTAGTGATTGGTTGACACATCTGACACTTGCAGCAGACAGCCTCACCAGGCCTTAGCTGCCTATTCTCCCCGCTGCACCCGCCACCTGATATTTCTTCACCAACTTTACTCTTTTTGGAGATGCAACTCGCAACACATGAACTCCCAAGGTAAATGTACACTGTCTGTGCTATATCCAGACCGCCTGCGCCGCATATCCGTCGTGGCGCAGCGCGTAGCCTTGTTCCGTGTAAAGGTGGGCCTGACCTAGCCACCATAGGCTAAGCAGGCGCGTAAGATGGCCCCCAAATGGATACCCGTATGCTTCGAGCGTTCTCCATGTTCGCATTGACGCTGAACAGCACATCAAACTGTAGTTATGTGGGGTGTGTGGCACAGGATTTATAGGAAGCTTATTCCCACTTCCCGCGATTTTCGATGATTTTCTGGTAACGTTCTGAGCTCGCGCCTGCCCAGGTGGCACGTCATTTGTTTCATACCACAAAGCGCAGCCTTGTAGGCAACCTAGGGACCTCTCTTCGGAAGACTCGAACATCTGACTCACGCCGTGTCGTTGCCACTGTAACACGTATCGATTTGGAGGAGGCTGCCTCGTGCCAGTCATGCGTATGAGTCGGTGGGTTTAGTGTTTGACTCGACAACTTCAGTGCAGCAACCTACACTCACGAGCAAACGTCTCGCAACTGAAGTTAAAACACCGTATACCTTACACGTTCACGAACATCCCGGATCGTCAGAGGCTGGTAACGACACCGATATCAGTTGCCTATCTCGGCACGAACAACCATGGACTTCTCGAACCCAGAGAGAAATGACAACGCGCCGCTGCGCTTGCTCTCGCTAGATGGAGGGGGCGTACGGGGACTGTCGTCTTTGTTGGTACTCCAGAATCTGATGGAGAACATAGCATTGGAAGAAAAGAGGTTAGGAAGGAAAGCCATGAACGATCACGAACCGCTAAAGCCATGTGACTATTTCGACCTCATCGGCGGTACATCAACGGGAGGAATAATAGCCATCATGCTATCACGATTGCGACTCGACTGTAAAACCTGCATCGCTGTATACAGTAAACTAGCAGAGCAAATCTTCAAGCACGATCGATCGATAAAGGCGTTTGGCATGAAGATCCCCACAGGAGCAAGTCGGTTTTCCGGTGCCGTTCTGGCAAATGCCATCAAATCTGCGTTGAAAGACCTTGGTTTCGATCCAGATGAACTGATGTGGGATGAGGCGCTTTTTGAAGAAGTGGATGAAGCGGCGGATCTACCCAGAGACAGCATTTGGGCAGACGCGCCTCCAGCGCCGGTAATTACAGAGAGCCCGGTCGGCACACTCAAGAACTCGCTATGCTCCCTAGAGTCAGGCCCTCCTGAGAGTATCGATAGCACGAAGAATCTGTCTACACTCTTTAGCGACAGTCCGTTCGGCCCGCGAAAGCCAATGCGAAGCGCTACTTGGAAGCTACATCACCGGCAATCAGTTCACAAAAAAGCAAACGCAAAGGGGTGTCGCGGCTTCGTACTTACTTCCCTCAAGAACGCCTTAGGCCTTCCCAGGATTTTATCAACATATGATCCCAATGACCGGACGACGCGCATTTGGGAAGCCCTCAGAGCTACATCCGCAGCACCGACATTCTTCGAAGAGATGCAATTCGGCACGCCCAAAGTCACTTATCTAGACGGCGGCGTAGGCTTCAACAACCCATGCGCAGAAGTCGACTACGCGGCAAAAGCACTCTGGGAAGGCCGCTCCATCGGCGTCATAGTCTCCGTCGGCACCGGTCTACAAAGCATCCCCAGCGTAAAGAAGATGGCATCATGGCTGCCCTTCGGCCTTGGAACAGACATCTCCATAGCCAGCGCACTCACCGGCATGGCCACAAGCACCGCACGCGTCGACAACGAAATGAAGCGCATGTACAACAACTCCGACACCAAATACTTCCGCTTCGACGTCGACCGCGGCCTCGCAGACGTCAGCCTAGAACAATGGATGAAAGAAGACGAAATGGCCTCCCTAACCGAACTCTACATGAACGACGGCGAACAAATTCGCTCAGCAAAAGACTTCGGGCAACGCATGGCCAAACTCTCCGCCTTACCTCCAAAATTCGAAATCAGTGCTTCCCACTTCCGTCTAGGCATGACAGGACGCGGCCTCCTCGATTGCTCATTTCAACTCGCCCAGGTCGACTTTAAAACGGGTATGCCGCTAGGCGTTTCACCGCACCTAGATGACATACCGCGCATGTCTCAATACCGCGACCTCTCGCCCAGCGGCGAAAGCGGGCTCGCCCTCGACAACGCAACTGGCCGACTCAAACGCATCTTCCCCGTAGCCGAAGACCTCGACCACGACGGCCGTCGCGAAGAAGCCGCCGTCTACCAATGCATCAAAGCCGATAACATCTGTCTCCGCACAATCAAAACAGGTATACCACAAGGCAAATACAAAGTCCAGTTCCTCGTCTCCTTCCACAACAGCACGCACACCCCGCCAAAGGATCTCGTTTTCAGCGTCGGGAAACCGTTTGATCCGTCGAACTTCTCGCAGCGCTACGTTGATGTTAAGATCACGCCTGATGTGGGCAGTGTGCTGTTGCATCCGGATGCAGTGAGGGTTAGGGTCGGGTCGAGAAGGTATGAGGAGCTCAAGGGGAAGGGGTGGGCGGAGATTGAGGGGGATATCGAGGTTAGTGTAGGGTTAGACGGGGCGTTGGGGTTTATTGTTAGTAAGAAGTATGAAGATGGTGTGTTTGTGGATGGATGGAGTTTTGGTGGTGTGAGGCTGGAGCCGGTGTTTGGGACGGCGGGTGGGGTGGTGACGAGTCCTAGGATTTTGACATGATCTATCGACCAGGCGTTATGGGAACGCTGTCTCAGCGAGTGGTTGGTAATCGCTCGTCGACTTTCGATGTGTACAAGCTTTGTTTCGAGTCTCTTTGGCGGGTGTTTGGAGGAAGTTATGACGAGGGCAAGGTTTGAGGTAATGTTCATCAGACAGGAATTATAGACCATGTAGTTTACGCGTCATAGCAGCGAAGCGCGTGTTTGTTCAAGGAAACAAGAACTTTTATTGAACTGTCTACTGTTTCTATTATTGAGACACACCCTATGCAAACACCGAACAGTGCCGATACGTGTGTTAAAGAGCGACGATAGTTGATATTATCGTGTGACGACAAGCCCTACGATTGGCTTGGCTAGCGTTGACCAGTGAGATCCATTCGACGGTGTCTGCATGTATCAGGAGCGAGATCCCAATGCTCAGAGTGTGGGGGAAGCAGTCGGGCAGGTGGTAACACTGAAAGTGTTGAAGACGGTGGTAGGCACGCTTGTGGTGGAGGTGATCGTAGCAGAGGCAAGAGTGAAGACCGTCGCTGTAGCGGTACCGGAGATGGGTGTCGAGGTACTATCTTTGATAAGCGAGTGCATGATAGAGGCAAGGAGTAAAGTACTTACGTGGTAACGGTAGTCCTGGCAGTGGCAGTCGAAGTCGCAGTGACTTGTGCCTGAGTGAATGTGAAGTCAGGACCGAAGAAGCCGGCACGCTTCTCCAACTTCACCTTGGGATCGTCGATCACGGCACGCTCGTTCACCTTGGCCTTGGGAACGCCAAACGCGACGCGCTTGCGGTGAAGGTTAAAGGTGGAGCAGCCGGAAAGCTTGCGTCCTCCAATGATGTTCGAGTTAACGCGGACGTCACCGATGCTGCCCTTCATGTAGCAAGCACCAGGCTGTCCAATGACCCAGGAGACATTGACACAGCCAGTAGTGTTGTCGCAGGCTTGGAGACATTGCTCGTATGTGTCAGTGTACACGAGACCGTTTTGAACTAGATATAATGTTAACTCGTGTACGTTGCAAGGATGAACAGGGAAGCTTACGGTCATTGCCGAAGCGGTCAGAGCTGCATTCGACAGCATATACCGCGCCACATGAAGTTGTGACCATTGAGCCATTGGAGCCAGGGCAGCTAACTCCGGCCGTTGAGCTCGCAGCAGGAGCGCTCGATGACGTAGGGCTTGATGATGCAGTGAAGACACCAGCGGGTGTGCATGCGCACTGGTATGCCGTGTTGGAGATCGTAGTAGTAACGGTAACGGTGGATGGTCCGGGAGCGGGTGCAGCTGAAGTGACTGGAGCTGAGCTTGCTGCCACGGAAGAAGAAGAGGGGGAAACGGAAGAGGAAACACGGGATGAGGTAGACACAGGCGAGGAGGCAGCCACGGAAGAGGAGGCAGCCGCAGATGAGGAAGCAGGTGCCACCGAGGATACGGCCGCAGACGAAGAAGCGACAGCAGACGAAGAGGCAAGTGTCATCGAGGAAGCGGCCGCAGAGGAAGAGGCAGGTGCCGCCGAAGAAGCACTAGTTGCCGACATAGTTGTGACGCGGACCAGTCTTCCACCGATGATGTTGCTGTTCGAACCGGCACTGTTGGCTGCACTCTTCAGGTAGCAAGGACCGTTAATGACGTAGCTGGCAGCGACACAGCCTGAAGTGGTAGAACAGTCTGCCAAGCAGCCCTCGTAGGAGCTGGGGTAGGTCGGGCTCATTGGGCCTGGGATATCGCCACCCTGGTAGTCGGCACCGCACTGGACTAGATATTGCATACCATTGACAGTGACAATAGAGCTGTCGGATCCAGGGCAAGAAACACTAGCGCCTGAGCTGGCAGCAGGGCTGGAAGAGGAACTGACAGTGGTCGTGGCAACTGACTGAGAGGAAGCGCCTGCAGAAGAAGCGATCATCGAAGAAGATGAAGACACAGGGACTGATGCAATCCTAGCACCCCAGACATTACCGTTGGACCTAGGCGCACCGACACCGCTCTTCAAGTAGCAAGGGCCATTTGGCAGGTATGAAACGGCCTGGCAGCCAGAAGTGGCTCCGCAAGCTTGGATACACTGCTCATAGTTCGCAGGGTTGCCAGGTGCAACACCGATATCGGAGTTAGTACGGTCGATGAAGCACTCGACGACGAAGTCTCCTTGAGGGGTGGTGAACGTGGCACCATCGCTCGCGGGGCAGGACAAGCTAGACGCAGATGGCGACGGGCTGGCTGAAGTGGGGGTGACAGAGCTTGAAGTGATGGCAACAGAGCTGGAAGCAGGGCTTGAGGAAGCCGGGCTGGAAGAGGCTGGGCTTGAAGCCGGGCTTGAAGAAGCAGAGCTGGAAACACGGCTTGAAGAAGCTGCGCTCGAGATAGGGCTTGAGGAGGCTGAGCTCGAGACAGGAATTGAAGCAGCTGGGCTCGATACAGGGCTGGAGGACGCGGAGCTCGAAGCAGGAGTGGAAGCTGCTGAGCTTGACGCAGCGCTTGAAGAAGCGGGGCTCGATGCAGGACTCGATGCAGGACTCGATGCAGGACTCGATGCAGGACTCGATGCAGGACTCGATGCAGGGCTCGAGGAAGCAGAACTGGATGATGGGCGTGCAGATGAGCTAGGAGAAGCGGGCGAGGACGATGCGGCCGGAGTAGAGCTCGGTGTCGGGGTAACAGTAGTCACGCTTACGACGGTGGTAGTAGCGACGGAGGCTGAAGAGGGCGATGGAATAGGAGATGGTGAAGCGGATGAGCTGGAAGAAGCAAGCGAGGGCGACACGATGGAAGCGGAGCTCGATGGAGTAGCCGTAGTGACGCTTACCACTGTGGTGGTGACAACAGAGGCTGAGCTTGGCGAAGGAATGGGGGAAGGCGAGAAGGATGAGCTCGAGACTGGTATGGAAATTGGCCTCGAAGATGAGCTCGGGACTGATACGGCGGATGAGCTTGGCGATGGGATAGGGGAAGGCGAAGAAAATGAGCTCGGTGATGGAATGGAGAAAGGCGAAGAAATTGAGCTCGGCGTTGGCGTAACTGTTGAGACGACGACCGTGGTGGTAGTAGACACTTGTGCCGACGATGATGGTATAGCCGGAATAGAGGATGATGGGACAGCTGGAACAGAGGATGATCGGGAAGACGATGACACGATGGGCGCCGGAGACGAACTGGGGCAAACGGTAAACGTCTGTGTGATAGCGCTGGTGACTGGGAATGTGAAAGTAGCGATGTTTGTCTGTGTACTGGTGGCAGAGGCGGAAGAGACTGTAGTAGTCGCCGCAGGCCTAACAGGCGCAAACGCAACGTTGGTAGCAGTAGCAGTCGTCTGAACAAAGCTTGTAGCCACAGTGCTTGGGGAAGGCTGGTCGCCGAACGCAGCAGTGAAGGCACGGGGAGTGGCAGCGAACGGGTTAAGGAACGCATAGTTGTCGATGGTGTAACGACCCATGTTAACCCAGTCGAAAAGGTCGGCATTCTGACAGAAGATGCCTGTATAGGTTGCCGGCACGCCTTGGGTCTGGTAGGAGCAGGTGCGGGTGTAAAGTAGCAACGGGTTGGAAATGATGGGCGTGAATGTAGGCCTAGTTCCTTGGTAACAAGTAGAAGTACCAGACATGTAAGTCATCTGAATACCGAAGTTGTCGCCAGATCCAAAGCTATGCCTGGCTTGATCATAGCTGAAGGTTGGGGTGGCCGTCCCAATGAGGGACGGCAGACCCGCGGCAACGAGCGAGCAGCCTGACATGTCGGCTGGCTACTGAAGATTGAGCAAATTTAGGAGAAGAGCGAGCGTGCAGAACGAATGAGTTCTTGAATACAGAGAGTAGGAGGAAGCTCATTTATGAATCCCTACCTTCCAGCTACGCTGGTACTCAATCTGATGAGTTCATGAACTCTGAGGGGTTGAGCGACCCTGAACCACCGACTCACATCGTGTTCATGGAGTTGCTCCGACAGGAGGGTTCTCCTCACGGCTGGTCATCCGTATGTGAAAGAGGAGCCGGTTGGTGTGGTCCTGGAGCATGCCATTGCTTCCACTTGGGTCGCACGCGGCGGAGACGCTAAGCGTTCTCCCGAACGGAATGGAAAGATGCATCGGTTCTCTCGTAGTCTCGAGTGGTGTATGTCTAGGTGTGGTCCTGAGGTGCGACGCGTTCTTGATGACACAAAACCCTTCCAGAGTTGGAAGACGCGTTTGGCAGCACAGACCGCCGCTAACCCTGAAAGCCTCTAGCGCAGGGGCCACCTCGTCATCATCATGCCCGTTCACCCACTCTCGCCCAACCGTGAAAGCCGGAAGTAAGACCACAAAATCCTCCTCTACGCAGCAGTCTACACAACAACAGCGTTACTTTTATTATTTTAAAAAAAGTAGAGTAACTCTAAAGAATGTATAGAGCTTTTCTATAATTTTAGAAATTAAATAAAGAGCGTAGTTGTAGTAGAATGCTGTCCTGCCCTCCACTAGCTTAATTCCGACTTTCACGGTTTGCCTAGAGCACCCAGTCCGGCTCCATCCCAAGGTCTCGTCTCGAAAGACTCACAGTTACATCCTCTGTCATGACTTCTACTCTTGATACGGATTTCGGTTCGGCTGGGCCGTCGTTTTACGTACTGTATGTGCCATCTCACTCGAAGGCAAATCTCCCTATTGCCGAAGCATCCAATTTGCCAAACGAACTCCAATCTCGAAGGGTCTTTCGCCGAACATCGCATCATTAACGATCCCTGCGTCTCTGCAACCTTTCACATACGTTGGTAGACTAAAAGAAAACCACAAAACCACCCATATGTATCCCGCATACCTTGCTAATGCAGGTCCAATATTGTCGTGGCCGGCTCCTCGGTACCGTGCCTGGACAGCAATCCATTGCACAACACCTTCAACGGTGATGGCTACTGGCTGCGACATGAAGAATGCGAGTTCTCCCATGTCTCTGCGCGTTACCATAAACATTTGGAACTCGTGCACTAAGCAGCTAATCGCGAAAGACACATAGAGTTGAACTAGTCCCGATGCGAGACTGCCTTTGCGGAGAAGGAGGCGCACAATGCGAGCTGCGGGTTGCGAGACCATCTGCAATACACATTTGCGTTAGCGGGGCTTGGACATTGCAGGTGGTTGAATGCTGGAATCGAGGTAAAAGTGGCATGATGAGTCAATCCTGACTTTACCTTTCTCATTGTTTGGTGATAGACCACACTCCAGACCTGCCTCACAGACCACGCATCCCTCAACTTTCCCATTAGCGGGGGCCATTGCCACGTTTCGCATACCCCGCTTGCAACGGATACAGCCGCCATGAAGCTGTAAGCGAAGTTCAATCTTTCCCAGACCCATATCGCACCGGACCAGCCAATGAGTGTATCGACTATAAGGCGATAGGGGAGGGCTTCCGATGGCAGCCATACCTCCGCAGCTGAACCCCATCCGAGTAGCACGAGCATGGCCATAGACCGCAAGTACGTAATCATCATCTTATAGACATGTCTGCGCACAAAGGCCCGTTTCGAAAGACCCTCGTACGGACCGTCAGGAACACCTTTGGCCTGCCAATTCCAACCAATACCACGATGCGACGGAACCATGAGTGAACACACCCGGAGAACTTTCTGCCATGTCAAGCTCATGTCGTCCACGGCTCTTTCACTCCTAGTGTCGCTGCGCTTCGGGTTTCCAATGTATGCAGGGGCACCGGGCCCTTTCTGTGGAGACAAAATGGCGAATTCGAGGAACCAGATAGGCACAGCAATGAAGAACGAGCTGTTGTAATAATCGGAAGAGGGGTTACCGAAGGTATAGCATGGTGACCTAAAGCATAGGTCTAGAATCAGTGGGAATATGCAGATGGCGATCCGACGCCGGCTGGGGAAGAAGAATGGGACAATAGTAAGGATGAATATCAGTGGTTGGTAGAGTGGCGGCATGGGCTTGCGGTCGGCGAGCTGTGGCCAAGAGTACCAAAGTGGTGTCATTTTTTCCATCGTCTTTCGCATGTTGACTTCAACAATTTGGGGAGATTTCATTGTTGCGCTTCGCGGGCTGCAGTGATGGGGTCAAGCGGGGTTCGCCAATTTGTGAAGTAGCATTGATCAGGCCACCAGCCCAACCTTGGACGGCATCGAAGGATCCGAGCTGACGTAAACCCTGCCTACTAACTAAAGCAAGCACTATTGCCATGCCCCATTTCCTGGGTATGGTTAGGGCAGAAAGCTTTCCTCGATTTCCCATCCTCTTCTCCGGACACCCTCATTCTCAGATGCCTTCCACATTTCCAACATCAGTTTTAACTTATGCCTTGTCTCTGTCTTCACGATAGCTCGTTCCTCCTTCAATTCGGTCCCCACATGTTGGACTAGTGCCCAGGCAACTTCGACCTTCAACAAGTCCGGTGCTGTCAACCAGCTCAACCTCGTCTTACGAATGTCGCCTACGCATGTTGCCGTCAAGATGCGATTGTTCATGAGAGCATCATGCAACAGATCGTGTTTCTTGTAGGTATATACGCTTGTGCCAAATCGCTTTTCTCCTCTTCCGCTATTCTTGGAAGATACGATGTCAGTGCCAAGGTAGTCAATCAGTTCTCGAAGGGCTTGATGGTAGACTGGCCGGCTACTCATATCATCGATGATTGCCTCTAGTTGACCCGCGAAGTGCGTACATGCTTTCTCGCGGACCTCTTCTTCTTCATCGTGTGACGGCCATGGATAATCGAGCAGGAAAAGACGCCAGGAAAAGGTATCAGGGAGAACCGAAGGTTGACGGGCGGGGTCGCGCTCCCATCGTTGGTTGCGCAAATTGTTTACGTAGGACACCATCGCCATCAGTATCGGTCTGCCGTGTCGTAACCACCAAGACTTTGCGAGATAACTGCCACTTATCATTCTATTGCAGAAGCCTTTAGTGAGATTGGTGTATGTTGGCGAGTCGTTCCAAACTAACGCCGTGAAAAGGTTGAGATATTGCTCCTGGATGAGTTTGGGTGTAAGAACCGTATCGTCGGAAGAATCTTCTGCGTACTCTAGAAGTTCGAGGAAGTTCGCAGACGGGCGAATGCTCCAGAGACTACGGTCTAGTGCAAATAGTCGTATCCATGTTTGGACTTCAGGAAGTGAAGCTAGCGCAGGATCAGCGACAAGCCGTTGATTCATGGCTCGCAAAGATGCCGGAGGTCCGATGATAAAGCACAGGTATTCCACATATTCTTCCAGTATAGTATGCGGAACATGAGCTGGCATCTTGTTGTTCTCGTTTAGTAGCAGCCTGTTCACGTACGGGTCTCGCGGGATGGATGGGATGCGAACGTCCATAAGCAGCGCATCTTCAAGCCCATACTTTCGGAGAAACAATGCTACCCATCTCGTCGTCTGATCTCTCAGAGTCTGCAGTACCGGCATCAAGACTCGGTCTACGAATTGCTGGAACTCGACCGTATCGTTCTTCTTGTTACAGAAATATTGGATCAAAGCCACCAGAACCGGTGATTCTGACCCATCCTCGAGCGAGATGCCGGCCTGGATCTCGGGGAGCGTAAGGTCCTGTTCGTACTGCAGCCACTGCGTTTCGTCCAGCGGCTGTCTTTCGTTCAAAGATCCAGCTATTGGTATGAACAACTCCAGGAGAGTAAGTACTGCGCGAGACTGGTCTCGAGACCCATTATCAAGCAGTACTAGGAGGCTCTTGACGATGTTGAGCCGGACGTCAACATGTGTGTTCATTCTGGAAAGTGTGGATAGCACTGAAAGTGCATAGTCTGTTCCATTCAAGTCAAGGTCCTGGAAAAGCTGAACCAACATCTTAATCGTAGTGACTTTTACGTGCGGCTCGCCAGTGGGTGGCGCAAGATTGCCGTCGGCTGAACTTTCTTTATTGATTTTCTTGGCCTGTACCATGCTGATAATCTCATCGGAAAGAGATCCAATGCAGGCTCTGGCCTGCGACGCCGGAAGTCTTCGGAGGAAACTCGGTTTTAGTAGGATGCGATGCCATGAGCTCGACTTGGGCCTATCCAGGATTGTACGGACAGCTGACTGCGTGGCCAAGCCGGGTCTATCACTTTCGCCCACTCGAGCAATGAGCTGCATAGTGACCTCATGCAGAGCTGTATGGCTGTCGGATTCCTCAACTGTGTCCGCATGATCAAGAGCTTTGACGAGGTTTCGTGATAGTTGTGCCAGCAATGTAGGAGGTATCGTATCGAGATGACCGTGTATGGCTCTGGAAGCTGTAAACTGATTTGGCTCATCAGAAGTGAGGAACTCTTCGTCCAAGTATAAAGCCGGGTATCGCGTGTCTGTTTCCGAAGGAAATAGGGTCGCTAGAAGGCGGTCGCTCTTGACGAATTTCGCGTCGAGATACAGCAGAGCCGATAACACGCCACCTTCTCCCATATCGCGCGATGAACTCCAGATAAGCCTAGCGTCCTCTTCGTAGCCAGGAACTTTAACTGGTGCTGCAACAATGGGAAAGTTCACACGGCCTCTTGAAGTCATGATTCTCGATACGCCAACTGAAAAGTCCACATAAGTCGGTGCATCAAGTTCCCGCTCGACAAAATCCGGTCTTGTCGCAAAAGGGTTCCATTCACATGGCTCACCCGAACCGTCATCCTCAGGTATCATTGGCCAAGACTTCTTTATATTCCTCATCACGCCCTCAGGCGGCCACTCATCCAAATCGTCTGGCTTCATGTCTTTCCAAAAGCGTATTGCTTCCTCCTCTGTCATCCTGTCGGAGCTTAGAGGGCCGATGGCATACTGCCACGCCCTTCTGAGACGAGCTTTCTTCTCCGGCTTATCGCATGCTTTGGGTATATAAAGCTGTAGGCCATATTGGTAACTGTCTACGAACAGCCCAATGGTCTTCTGAAACTCTTTGTCCAGTGATACGGGTTGGAGAGCAGTCTTCGGATCTGGGAAGATGGCTTGCTGGGTACGCGCTGCAATGTAAGACGCCCCTATGCTGTTGAGATCCTTCACGTTCAGAATCCACGGTGCAGTCAGGCATTGTATTGGAAGTCCTCGAGGAAAGGGCTCAGGAAGCGCTAGTGTGGCAGGACGGTCTAGCGGCCTTAGCTTGGACCAGAGTTCGTTTCTCGCTCGTGCAAGGGTGTCTAAGAAGACATATGTCGAGACGTCCAAGCTTTCAAGCTCAATAGTGAAGGATCTGTGATAGGCAAGAATACCACGGGGATGGTCCGCCTCCAGTCTTGCGTATTCCTCTCTTTGCGCCTTTTCCTCGACCGCAATGAGCATCGGAATCGTGACCTGCCAAATGCAGGCATGTATACCGTCGTCAGAGGCTCTGAGTTGCTTCTTGACATGTGGTGTGAGGTCCATCCGTAGTTTGATAACATCGTGGAATAGCTCAAAGACGCCACTCCAATCATGCGCGTTGAACGAAGGTTCCTTGAGGGCTTCGCATGCTGTGTCAAACATTCCTTGCAAAATTGTGTTCGCCATTGCGACTCGGTGTTGTAGCACAGTCAGGCTTGGCAGTCCGTTGATCGATGCAGGAATACCTGATAGTAGACGTGTAGCTTCTTCAGGAAATATGTTTGGATAGATCTCCCGCATCACGAGCGGATCTCGCAAGAAACGTTTCGTCCACTCTAGCGTATCTTTCAGCATATCGAAAGATCCACTGGCGATAGCAGCAAATAGCGCTGACTTGGCAAAGAATGCACGTTGTTCCGGCTGAGATGCAGTAGCAGCCTTCTTCTTGCGCACATCAACGTAGCCATTGGCCAATGTCTTGGCGTCTTCTTCCTTGTTGTTCAGGCTTAGTAGCCAGATGTGAAATATATCCGGGTCACCGCTTTGATCTTGAAGTTCATAAGTTGGCGTTTGGCCGAAGATAGAGCGATTTCGATCAAGGTCGATTAAATCAACATCTCCTCTCGCTTTTCGCAGACGAGTAAACAGTAGCAGAGCGTCGGCAGGGGACAAATTCGCGAAAAAGCCGGGATGGATCGAGCCCTTGGTATTCTTCAGATCTTCATCGCTGTCCAGGTCAAGCGAGGTGGACGCTTGGTAGCAAAGTCTCAAGAGTGGGTAGCTTCGCTTTACGGGAACCCCTGTGAGGATAACAGCCCAGTCTCCGATGTTGATCTTGCTGGCTGTACCAAAGACCGGATGAGAACAGAGTCTCCGCAGATGCTGTTCGAACAAACTTGGCTGTTGTGACCAGCAATAGGCGACCTGCTGGAGAAAGTCGCCCTTGATGCCAGTGATGTGACATCCTGTGCTTGGATGGTTTTCCAGATAGCGCATCGTAAGATCGACGATTCGTTGTACCATGTCCCAACCTGCGCGGTTCTTAATGGCACGTTTCATAAGAGGGTTGACGAGTTGATCGATGAAAGTCTCGTCCTCCACTACCGAATGCGCTGAATTACTGAGGGTTTCCAGGAGTCTCAAGGAGAACTCCATAGACTTGGAGAAGCCCTTTGTGGTCGATTTACCTGGCGGATGGTGATGCAGTAGCTCTGTAGGTACCGTGATGTTGTCGTTGGGTGGTTGTTCCGCGCTCGCCGCTTGGAGGAGCTCTTCTTGCATACACTCTGGATAGTACTTGACGAGATCCTTGGTTCGTGCATCTTTCCATGTTCCTTTCGACTCGCTTGCGATGGCCTCTTCCACCAGCTCCTTCGAACACGCAGGGATGATGAGTCGGTAGAACCTTCCAAGTGCGCGCTGGTCTTTCGTCTTATGCGGCGCACCAGGAAAGCGATCAGGGTGCAGCGCTTTGAAGAGTGCCGTGAAAAGCTGTCTTTTCGCATCTACCTCAGCCCCTCTACCCGAACGACCAATCGCGGTACAGGCAGCTTTGACTTCAATCACCGAGAGGTCTGCAAAGATGTCAAGCAACCCAGCAATTCCCCCGAGACCATCCCATGTCTCTCTCCATCGCGGAGAACAAAGCCCCTTGCGCAGAAACTTGATGCCGAACTTGCGGACAAGTACGGACTTATCTTGGATGAGCGCCTCGCGTGTAGCGAGAGGCGACTGTGCTACACCGAGCCATGGTGCGAAGGCGAGCGGCGATACCGAGCCTCTCTCAACAGCTAGGAGAAGCTGTGTCGTGATCTCCTGGATTGGCGCATCGTTCAGTATTTGGCGGTAGTAGTCTCGAAGCTCAGCAAGAGTGGAAGACCGAATGCGACGCGTGTCGAGACCCGCGGTCATGTTGTGTGGAGCCGAGGTAGATTCCGCGTTGCACCTCAGCTTTCAATCGCGACAGCAACAGCATTGATATAGCCTCCAGAACTGCAGGCATAGTGCACGCGAGTGGTAGCATAGGCAGACATGACCACATAGGGGAAAGTCGATGATCAGGCGGGCTGCGTAGTGGGGCTCGTCGTGTGAGAGAAGGGCTGAAAGGCCAGCGACGCGTCTATGACGTCAGCCTACCTAGGTATCCTCCCAAGGTGGTGACAACTCCCACTACGCTGCGCCCTCCGATCTCACGGATACAATCAACGCCCTGCTCGACCCTCAGCCCTACAGCCCCTATACTTGAGATGCACACCGCTATGATGCCGCGCATTCGCAGCTCCCCGGTGCAACAATGGGCTCGTTGACGCGCATCTCAAGTGAATGTACACCTAGGTCGCAACGATGTGCGGAATCATGAGTTTCGCATTTGGAAGCCTATAGTGCTATTTATACGACTTTGAACTCGCAATTGATCAATTGAGAAGGAACGCAGAAGTCACAAACCTCCTTCGCATTGTCCATTAAAGCATGCGATCCTCTCAGGCTTTGACTCCTGCACCATCATTGTCTCTCTGACCGAGTTCGACAGCCTCATAGCCGTTGTTCTCCCAGAATGGCCTCTTTGCCCTCCGACTATCACCAGTCATAGATGCCGTAAGTCCGCACGGATCGATAAACGTCATAAACCACGGCATGTCGTCCTTCCAACCTGGACCTTCCAGCTCAGTCTGCCCATCCTGAGCCAGGTAGATGTGATAGTCCTCCGGTAGGTAGCGACGCGGATGGCGATAGTTCCATAGCACGGTGTTTACAAGCATGAAGCTTGCGTCGAAAACCCAGAAGAACCATTCGTGTCGAACAATTTGCGAGAGACTCATTGGGTCCCAGTCTTTTGATGGAGTTGTGGGTACGCGGCTGATGCCGAAGTGTTCGACGCAGCGGTAGATTGTGCGAATGACGATGAGGCCCTGACTGATGTACAAAGTGATGAGAGGGCCCTGTACTTTTCCCGATTTGATGCCTCCCCTGATGCATCGTTTGTGGAAGACGCCGGCGATGATGCAGAAGAGAAGGATGACAACGATTTGTAAGATCAGCGATGTCTTCATGAGGATATGTCCGGTGTCGGCATAGACCTCAAGTATGTTTGGGTTCGCTAGCCAGGAGACGCCGATCGCGTTCAGGATTTCAACGATGCTAGATATTGCACCAAACGTCGTTAGGGTACGGCCGGGATGGAGAGGCGAGTGGTATGGGACGTAGTAGAGTATTCGACCTAGCACATGATAATTGGCCAGCTCTAGGATGGGGCTGGTGATGTGTTAGCTACCTCAAAAGAGAAGGGCGAGTTACTTACGGCGCGCAGAGTATTAGGATGGAGCTTGCGACGTAGACTCCGACATTGTCGTAGTTATAAGCCCCATACGAACGTACGGAAAATCCTGCTGTGAAAAACAGACCGCAGAATGGATGAAGGCCGGTGACCTTCCAGGCCCTGTATTTGATACATTGCCAGACATGTGCAATGGTAGCAACTGCAAACCACACTGCGAACATAGGAGGGGCCCATTTGACAGGCTGATATAGGTAGACACTTCCGGGAACGACGTCGCCGTCCGAGGGAGCCATGATAGATCTTGTTTGATGGGGTAATACGGTGGTATGAGGAGTGAGAAGCGAGTCCGAGTATTGGAACTTGAGGACCTACAATGCGATCTTTAAACGACTATTGCTGACTTCAGGGAGCAAGAGTAGGGTATCTGTCATGACCAATAGGGCTACAACAGGCTTGTCCTGACACAGCACTATTGATGGCCAAGACTTCGGCACGATTACACAGTCAAGCATTGCCTTTGCCTGCCGCTCTCTTGATCTCAATCGAACGAGCTTGACTAAAAGAATAGGTATGTGAGTTGGATCAAGGCAGAACGACTTTGGAATATGTTGCGTTTCAAGCTCGGATCGCGATATAGTAACACCCCTCGCGCCATGTAGAAATCTAGGTATCAACACATTGCCGCTCGATACGAAATGACACTGTACTGATGTAAAGGCCGAAAAAAAGATTAGCGATGGCAATGTTTGGCAGAGCCTCGTCGTGATGGTCGTTGGTGAGGCGTGCCTGCCACTCGAGCTTCCCGAGGTCGTGATGGCTTTCGCCTGTCAAATGACGCAACTGCCGTTCGGGCATGAGCGCGTCGCGCATTCCTAAAAAAAAACAGCCACATCACGCTAGACAGACTGTTAAATGTATATGTATACATGATACGGAACTTCTGCCGGTCGCTCACAATTTGCACTTTTCTGTTGCGATGCAGCGCAATACATTTCGGATCGGCACCTCCGAACACGATGAGACTCGGGTCTCAGGCCCCCAGCGCCACATGCACATAAGCTTCCTCGCTGGACTAGACCCAATACAGCAATAAAGATGGCCAAGACCTACATGCTAACGAGCTGGACTCATCACCACCAGCCACCCATGACAGTCAGACGAGCTTTCTATGGCAATAAAGCAGCAGAAATGCACGCTTTTATGAGGCCACCAAAGCTGCTGCCATTGCCGCCTTCTTCGCGGGTACCTTCCGGTTGAACTCTATCCATCCGCATTCAGAGGCGACCATGGCCGAAACAGGAGAAAAGAGAGCAACACGCCAATGCTGGGAATGTCTTAAACGGCGTCTAGTATGCGACAAGACGCTGCCGCGCTGCAACAAGTGTCAGAGACGCGGTCGGCAATGCTCGGGCTACGATGACGCGAAGCCACTTCAGTGGGTTCAGCCAGGGATAGTGACATCCAAACGAAGAGGGAAGAAAGAAAGTAGTCCGCGTAAAAATTCGAGCAACAACACGGTGGCTAAGAGTGAAGTCGACTATGCCTGCGAGCCCATAGACTACGAAGCCGCCTTGATCGAATGGGTAAAGGACCGGATCGACAATCCCCAGTATCGGGTTACTGATCTCCATGTTCTATCTTTCAAGATGATAGCCGTGGCAAGAGAAGCTGCCAGGGTATTCGAGATCGGGGGAAGGATCAAGATCGAAGAGATCGTCCAAAAAGGCTTGCACGAGGAAGCCGCACGCGTATTGCGCTCAGGTCGTGATCCACTGCAACGGCTGAAGCGTCTACTCGCGTTCCTGAGCATGCAAGATGTGCCGCTCTATGATGATCTCATGGACGAAACATCAGAAGTGATACAAGCCGTTCAATACTGTGAGTGGCTCTCTCCATCGCCCCGAAACATGGGGCGCGCTTTGAAGCGACTTGTATGGCCGATGGCTGACGCTACCAGACAATGTACGGATACACCCACAATACAAGGATTCCCAAGAACTGGCACCCAACCCCGCCCTCGTACTCTTCCCCCCACAAGTCTTGCATTTGCTTACTCCGTCCATCCATCATGCGCTAGTCTGCCTATCACTCAACCATTTCATCCATAGTCTACCACTAGGCGCAGGCCATACAGCGGTGATAGCGCGGACAAAACTATACCAACATCGAGGCGCAGCTTTGCGAGCATTAAGTCGACATATTGCTCAGGACAAGACACGATGTTCGGACATGACCATCACTACGATTCTCATGTTCATGTGCTTGGAGGTATGCGAGCGCGTCTGGAATGCGAAACTTGGAGTCATGTACTGATACGTACCCCTAGCTCCAAAACCCCACCTTTGCGGATGGACGTTCACATGTGAATGCCATGAAGCGGATAGTTGACCTAAGAGGTGGACCCAAGCAGCTCATGAAGGAAGCCCCGCACCTGATCCCGTCGATGGTGCTCTACTTAGTGTACGTCTCTTTGTCCTTTATTGGAAACCTACTCATATGATCAGTATCGTGTCTCTTTCCAACACGTGCAGTCCATCATGGGATCAAGTCGACATCAGCAACACTGCGGAGGAAATGACGGAAGATATAACCGACGTGTACAGTCTCATCTTCCCATACACGCTCTGTCCGCGAGAGCTCTTCACTGAGATATTGCGGACGAATCAGCTACGCGCAAAAGCGTCTGCAGCAATACAGCTGTGTGAGTTCAACCCGGATCATGCACTCGAAGCATATGACGTCCTCGACCGCATCAAGGCCTTTTCAGTCGAGGACTGGGCGCGAGCTGGCACCTTCTGCACCGAATGGCTGACTGTTGGCCTGGTGTACAAATCCGCCGTCGCGCTCTACGCCACCTTGTCGCTTTGCTCACTCATGGTCCTCCCGACTACGCCTTCACTGCTCGAGAGCCAAACAGCTTATGGCGACGTATTACTCAGCAACCTCGGCACCGCACTCAAAGTCCCGCGCATGGCTAAGTTTATGGTCTGGCCGCTGATCGTCGCGGGTGTAGAAGCTATGCATGGCGGGGAAGGAACGCGCAACTGGATCGAGGCGAGCTTGGAGGATCTGAGCAGGATTCTGGGGACGAGTTGTCCGCTCAAAGTGTGTTCGGTTCTGAGGAGATACTGGACGGGCGGGGTTGCGGGGTGGGACGAGTGCTTCGATCGATCGTATGTGTTTGCCATCTAGAGAGCGAGCTAGTCAAGGAGGGGTTGCAGTTGTTCGTCTCATCATACCCAGAGGTTCGTGATATATCGCTAGTATGCGTAATGTACAGGCTTGCTATACAGAGGGGAGATGGGGTCCCCATTCGTGATACCCAAACGCCAATCTATGCTGTCGTGTACCATGGACCGTGACTACCGGTCCAGGCCCTTGTTCTCTGGGTCCTCATCGCCCTTGGTCTCCTTGACGTCTTTGTACGGCCGCCCCGCGTAGAGCATGTATCCCTTCTCCTCCATGGTGCCCGCCTTCTCATCCGCCTCGGAACGGCCCTGGCCAAATGCGCCCGTCTCGAGTTGGCCGGGCACGGCAATGGGCCGGTTGCCGCGGAAGCGCTTGCGCATGTCAATCATGCCCTTTTTGCACTCGGCGTAGCCCTTTTGCAGCTGCTGGCACTGGGTGGGGAGGGTGTATTTGAGGGGTGGGCGCAGACATTCGCCGGGCGTGTGTCGGTCGACCATGATGCAGTCGCTATTTTGGAGGCAGAATGCCAGCGCAGCGCCTAGCCACTCCGGTTAGCCGAGGCATCGCACAAGAGATAGAGCAAGCCATACGGATGTCTTTGCAGGACTGCGGCATCGTGGCAGGAGGTCGCGTGTGGCTACCAGCGCATTCAACAATGCATGTGTGGAGTGATGGGGTGGAGCTAACATTTCACAGCCGTCGGCGAAACGTCGCGCTAACCTCCGGGGCTAGGATGCGTTGTCACATGTCAGGGATGGCTGCTTCCGTCTGGAACGTCATTTCGACTCTGTTCGCTGAGCTATCATGCAAGACCTCACCGTAACTCAAGAGGGGCTGGAGCGCGAGCTGTGAACTTTCCGAGGCCCGCGCGTACAGAGGGGCGATGCGTTGTCCGCCTGCCATCAAGTCTCTGCTTTAATTGCTTCTGTGCCCTGCCGTCTACACACGCCCGAGGGCACACCTGGGCAGTATGACGCTCCATATACCCTTCCTGTCGCGCCTCCACATCCGCGAGTACATCGCCCTGTTTCTCTCCATCTGCCTCATCGGTCTCGAGTCCTTCATTGCCGTCATCACCCTCGCCCTCCCCACGCCCATCATCAACTTTTGCTACCGCCTCACGCGCCGCCTGTTCAACCACCTCTCGTCGCCCTCGTCCAAGCGCTCGCGCCAGAAGAAGAAGGGCGTGTGGAGCTCCATCGCCAATGCATCCGACTTTACCGAGCTATGCGACCTCTACGGCTACTACTGCGAGGAACACATTGTGCAGACGGGCGATGGATATCTCCTAGGTCTGCACCGGCTGGGCTGGCGACAGGGCGAGGAAAATGTGCGCGTCAACAGCGGAGACAGGGCCAAGGGCGTCAAGAAGAAGGTCGTCTATCTCCACCACGGCCTCATGATGAACAGCGAGGTCTGGGTCTGCTTGACCGACAAGGAGCGATGCTTGCCATTTGAGCTGGTCGAGCGCGGATACGACGTCTGGCTCGGCAACAACCGTGGAAACAAGTACTCCAAGAAGAGCGTCCACACGCCCCCTACCTCGAGCAGCTTCTGGAACTTCAGCATGGACCAGTTCGCCTTCCACGACATCCCGGACTCCATCGCCTACATCCTCGAGACTACGCACCAGCCCTCTCTGTCGTACATTGGCTTTTCGCAAGGAACCGCGCAGGCTTTCGCGACCTTGTCTATCCATCCTACACTGAACGAGAAGGTGGATGTCTTCATTGCGCTAGCCCCGGCCATGTCCCCCAAGGGCGTTGCGTCTGGCATTGTCGACGCCTTTGTCAAAGCATCTCCCGATATCCTGTACTTGGCATTCGGGCGGAAGACCATTCTCCCATCGGCAACCATGTGGCAATCCATCCTATATCCTCCAATTTTCGTTCGATTCATCGATACCTCGCTGCGCTTTCTTTTCAACTGGTCCGCCGTTAACATCCTACCCGAGCAAAAGCTCGCAGCATACCCACATCTCTACTCGTACACCTCGACTAAGAGTGTGGTACACTGGTTCCAGATCATTCGGAATGGCACGTTCCAAATGTACGACGATGAAGCGCCAAATCCAATCACATCCAATCGATCCAAGTACTACAAGGTTGCCAAGTTCCCAACCAAGAACATCAAGACGCCCATCGTGCTTGTTTACGGCGGTTCAGACAGTCTAGTGGATATCAAGGTCATGCTCAAGGAGCTACCAGCCCATACTATCGCCAAAGAGATCCCCCATTACGAGCACCTCGACTTCCTGTGGGCGGAATCGGTTCACACACTCGTCTTCCCGCACGTCTTTGAAGCTTTGGACAAATTCGCAGGCTCAGAAGCAGCAGCCCTAGAGAGTCAGAAGCAACGACGCTTACGATCGCCGGGCCGGTACCAAGGTCTCCTACCAGAGTCCAGCAAACTACCCGGGTTAGACGGCGACGAAGACGACGACGATGCGGGAGATGAGAGTGCGACCGCTCCGGTAGCGCTACGGACAAGGAAAGTTTCCCAGCACTCGCGAGCGCCGAGCTCCATCGATGGCACGACGATAGCAGAAAGGCCATTGTCACTAGCAAGTCCTTTCCAAGCGTCTCAAACGCCACGACCTCCCACTCACCGAAGAACCCAAACCGAAGAGAAGCCCTCGCCTTCCCGCAACAGAATCATGTCACCACCACCCTCGCACAGGATATCAACCATATCCTCACCGCCACCCTCAACAAACAGGATGTCAACCATATCCTTCAGCTCACCAGGTGCGTCAGTCGGCGACTCTCAAATGACAGAAAAAACCTCGACGTCTCGGCCCGAAGGATGGTGGTCCTCTGACGAAGTCGCTGGTACAGATCCGTCTCAAACTACCACACCCGCTAACCACACGCCCGCCAGGAGGTCCAGTTTCGACAGCCAGCAGAGCACGAAGAGTATGGCGGGCAAATTCGGAGCCAATGGTATCACTCTTGGGGCGGGCAAAGCCGTCAGCGGAGTCACCATCACACAAGGAGAGGGATTCGGCGGCGCCGAGGGCAGTGGGTCTCACAAGGATAAAAACGATCGGGAAAGATTACTGGAGGCGGATCGGAAACAGCGGAGGAACGTCTTGAAGAAGAGGCAGCCGTCTAGTGGTTGAGGTTTTCTGACGAAGTAACGATGGACTTGCATAAGACTGTTACGATTATGTTGGTTGTTAAATTGGAAATAACGAGAATTTTGTGGCCATATCCACACCAACGCCATTGTCTTTTCCAATATTTCACATGGTGTGACCATCTTCATACGTGCAAGCAACGAAACAACGCATAAGACTGCCTGGAAGGATTCCATCTCACCACCCCCGCCCCACATTCAGGCGCACCTCCGCCACTATGATTGGTCACGGGACTCTGTTCCGCAATACGAGACGCATAGCCAAAACCTCATCTTGACTTCAATATTACCTAAGCCCTGCATTCTCGATAAACGTATATTTGCGTAGCCTTCCTTAATCTACAGACTATGGCACCCGAGTCGTTGCAGTCATCATCCATCACCATTCTCGCACTTCACCCGTGCCCGAGGCTACCGACAACCATTTCTCCCCACGTTATATCGCCATAACAAGCATGGCGTGGATATGGGACGGCGCTATAGCCATGTATCAGACGCTAGCTCGCTTCTTGTCGTCTGGGCCCTCTGCTGGAAAGGTAAGGATGTTGTTGGCTTGTGGCATGTAGAATACTCATAGAAGATATTCAAGGAGAACTACGATCCCGCTTACAGAGCCTTTGTCTTCTACAAGACTATGTCGTCTAACGAGGTAAGTGATGTTGCGGCTCGCTGAGGAGTTAGCGAAACCCGCTGATCTAAAGTTGCCAACTTAGTCCGTGTCGAGTTTTGGAAGACCGTCTATGGAGAGTGTTGTGGATTGAAATTGGGAGTTAGTCGCGAAAGCTTTTGTCTTAATTGGGCATGCATCAAAACGTTGGGACCACACGGTGAGCTGGCTGCGAGGGAGGAATGGGGTTTCTATGTATGCTACCCATGTTGGTGTATACTTCGTGAATTCGTTGACGCGTATTCAGATATCTATGTTCGCGGTAAAGCTGTTTGGACCTGCCATTACGCCACCAATCCGTCCCCCTCTCCCCTCACTGTTAGCCAGAAGGCTGCCCGGAAGACCCTTGTTCATCCTGTTGCTCCGTGAGATCGCTCATTTGCATCTGTTGATGCATCTGTTGCTGCATTTGCTGTTGCATGAGTTGCTGCTGTGACATATTCATCTCAGAGGGATACAAGCCCAGGTTGCTCAAGGGCGCCGACTGCCACCACAGTTGCTGCATGTCGATAAGAGGGACGCCTTGATCAAAGCTTGTCATGAAGGGGTTTCCAAAAGCGAAAGACGTTGGTTGTTGAGCCGGCATAGGGTATGAGAGTAGCGGATCCATGAAGTGGGCCTCGGACAACGGTGGTGGGAAATTTGGTGGCAATTCTTGTGAGTAGCCAGCAGCACCTGTTGCATCCCATGAGGTTGACTGCGACGTGAACGTAGAAGGGCGGGCGGAGCGTGCAGGCTGTGCGGGTTGAGACGTCCACTCGGTATCGTCGGCAATTAGCTCCTTGACTTGCTCCCGAAGTGCCGGCGCGCATGTGTTGAGAATCTTGTAAACGACATCATGGGCCCGAGCAGCGACTGGGTCGTTGGCCTTCATGGCTCGAAGCCAGCGTATCATCTTCTTGATACAGCCCATGATGTCCTCTCTCTCATCCTTCAGGTGCTTCCCTTCGTAGGCCATTTCCAGTAGCAGCACGGCTAGTGATTGCATGACTAGTGTGAAGAGCGTCAGTACTTGTCAGAATCCTTTTGTGAGATGATAGTCGTACCGAGATGAACCACGTCCCACCACGGTCCTTGTGAGTAGATGAAATGCGTGTCAGGCTTCTCGGGGAATAGCATCGTCATACTTCGAGCTGCGTCGACACATGTCTCGGCCGACTTACTGTTGAAGTTCATGGACTTCTCACTCTCTGTTGAT